TGTTGAGACACTTCCTACTGTCCTTCATGATTTCTGATGAAAATTCTGTAGTTATTTTAATCATTGTTCCTCTCTAAGTATTGTATCATTTTCTCTGGTTGGTTTTGAGATTTTTTTTCTCTTTAGTTTTCAGCAGTTTGATTATAGTATGTTTGGGCATGAATTTCTTTAGGTCTACTCTGGTGTTTGTTGAGCCTCTTGAATCTGTAGGTTTATGTATTTTGCCAAGTTTGTGGTTTCCAGCAATTAATACTTAAAGTACTTCTAATCACCATACTCTTTCACTTCTTCTGGATTTCTGATAAAAAGACAGATGTCTTAGTATTTTTCTCATAGGTCTTTGAGATTCTGTTCATTTATCTTTCAATCTCTTTTTCTCTGAGTTGTTTGGATTGAATAATTTCTATTTATCTGTCTTCAAGTTCACTATTTTCTCATCTCCATTCTATTAACCCAGCCAGTAAATTTTTAATTTTGTTATCATATTGTTCACTTCTAAATTTCTATTTGCTTTTATTTTATTTTATTTTATTTTTTTATCCTCACCCGAGGACATTTTCCCATTTTTTGTTCAAATAGAGTAGAAGGGAGAGAGAGAGAGAGAGAGAGAAACATCGATGTGAAAGGGACACATCGAGTGGCTGCCACCCACACGACCCAACCAGGCCGGGGACAAACAGCAACTGAGGTACACGCCCTTAGCGGAAACCGAACACGGGTCTCTCTGGACTGCAGGCCGATGCTCTAACCACTGAGCCAAACCGGCCAGGGCTCCATTTGCTTTTATTTAAATATTCTCTTTTTTTTGAGCCAAGACTTTCTATTTTTAAATTTGTGTCAAAAGCCTTCACGATCGCTTTTATAGACTTGGATATTCCCAACCTCTCAGTCCTCCCTGCATTGGTGTCCATTGATTGTCTTTCTCATGTTAGTTGAGATTTTCCTGGCTCTTCATATTCTGAGTAATTTTTTTGTTAATCCTCACCTGAGGCTATTTTTTCCATTTTTTTTAGAGAGAGAGAGTGGGAGGGGGGAGAGAGAGAGATATATATCAATGGGAGAGAGAAACATTGATTGGTTGCCTCCCACTCAAGCCTAACCAGGGTCAGGGATCGAACCTGCAGCCCAGGTATGTGGCCTTGACCGAGAATCGAACCTACGACCCTTCTGTGTGTGGGCCAACACTCTAACCACAGGCAGGGTTATATTCTGAGTAATTTTGATTTATATGCTGGACATTTGAATATGAGGTTATAAGACTCTTGATCTTGTATAAATCCTATGGGATATGTTGCCATTTCTATTTTAGTAGACATTCTACATTTCTTCACAGGCAGTCACTGTTTCCTTTGTCATCGTTGTGGAGGGGCCTGGACAAGGGAGAATGGTGGGCTGAGGAGGGGAGGGGTCAGATAAAGAGTCTTGGGGGCATAATTTCAGGTATCTGGGTCCTGGAGGCACCAAGAACTGCCTCCAGAACACAGAATCCAGAGTCCTCCTTGGGGTCCTGGGCAGGGGGTGTGGGTGGGGGAATGTGGTGGGACTGTAACTGTGTCCCCAGGACTTGTAATGTGCCAAGCAGAGTGCCAAGGGAAAAGCGGGCACATCTGTCTTTATCACAAAGACTTTGAGAAAACAATCATAGACATTAAGTAAAGAAATGAGCCTGTGTGTGCTTTCCCACAAAACTATTGGTGTGTGTGGGGGGGTGCCCAGTAAATAAGAGTATGACAAAATCTGTACTTACTTGAGTTCCTGTGTTCATGATGAGTCCAGTTGTGAAACCAAACTTTATCAGAAAATTCCCCAGTCTTTCACCATGTGCCTTAAGGTGATTCCTATGCTTGCTTCATGCTCACATAAACAAAGGCCTATTTGGTGTAATCAGAAAGTATGGACACTTGCCTGGGACTTACCTTGAAAGTATTTTCAAAATGAAAAATAAAATTACATTTCATTGTTTTAACTATGTTCTTTTGTTCTTTCTTTTACTCCCCACCCCCGCCCTCTTTTTTATTTCCCCCAATTTTTATTAATTTATTTTTGTTACAGATGTTTCTCCTTTTCCCCCCCTAGACACCGTCCTCTCCATCCCACCCCCTCACCCCCCAGCATTGTTGTCTATGTCCATTGGCTATGCATACATGCATATAAATTCTTTGGTTCATCTCATACATCCCCCCCCCCCCCCCCGCCTCCCTTCTCTGAGGTTTGTCCGTCTGAACCATACTTCTTTCTATGTATCTGGGTCTATTTCATTCATCAGCCCACCTTGTTCATTATATTCCACAAATAAGTGAGATCATGTGGTATTTGTCTTTCTCTGATTGGCTTATTTCTCTTAGCATAATACTCTCGAGGTCCCTCCATGTCGTCTCAAAGGATAAGAGATCTTTCTTTCTTACCGCTGCATAGTACTCCATTGTGTATATGTACCACTGCTTTTTTGTCCACTCATCTTCTATTGATGGACACTTGGGCTGTTTCCAGATCTTAGCTATTGTAAATAGTGCTGCTATGAACATAGGGGTACATATATTCTTTCTGATTGGTGTTTCAGGCTTCTTAGGATATATTCCTAGAAGTGGGATCACTGGGTCAAATGAAAGTCCAATTTTTAATTTTTTGAGGTAACACCATAGTGTTTTCCATAGTGGCTGCCCAAGTCTGCATTCCCACCAGCAGAGTCCCCTTTTCTCCACACCCTCGCCAACATTTGTTGTTTGATGATTTGTTAATGGCAGCCATTCCGGCAGGTGTGAAGTGATACCTCATAGTTGTTTTAATTTGCATCTCTCTGATGATTAGTGACATTGATCATTTCTTCATATGTCTCTTGGCCATTTTTTCTCCTTCTTCAAGCAGGTCCTTTAAACATTTCTTGTAATCCTGGTGGTAATGAACTCCTTTAGCTGTTTACTGTCTGAAAAGCTCTTTATTTTTCCTTCAATTTTAAATTATAGGCTTGCTGGGTAAAGTAATCTTGGTTATAGGTCCTTGCTTTTCATCACTTTGAATATTTCCTGCCACTCTCTTCTGGCCTGAAATGTTTCTGTTGAGAAATCAGCTGACAGCCTTATGGGAGCTCTCTTGTAGGTAACTGTCTTTCTCTTGCTGCCTTTAAGATTCTCTCTTTGTCTTTAACCTTTGCCTTTTAAATTGTGTTGTGTCCTGGTGAGGGCCTCTTTGGGTTCATCTTGTTTGAGACTCTCTTTGCTCCCTAGACTTGTGTGTCTTTTTCCTTCACCAGGTTAGGGAAGTTTTCTGTCATTATTTTTTCAAATAGGTTCTTAAGCCCTTGCTGTCTCTCTTCTGCTGGTTCCCCTATGATATGGATATTGTTATACTTCATGTTGTCCCAAAGGTCCTTTAAACTATCCTCATTTTTAAAAATTCTTTTTTCTTTCTGTTGCTCTGATTGAGTGTTTTTTGCTACCTTTTCTTCCAAATCGCTGATTTGATCCTCTGCTTCATCTAACCTGCTGTTGTTTCCATTTTGTGTATTCTTCATTTTTGACTGGTTATTTTTTATGATTTCTAAGTTATTTTTTAAATCCCTACTCTCTCTTTGTTGAAGTTCTTACTGAATTTATCCAATATTCACCCAAGTTACTTGACCAACCTTATAAACACTGTTTTGAAGTGTGTATCTGGCAGATTGCTTGCCTCCGTTTCATTTCATTCTTTTTTCTGGAGATTTCTCCTGTTTTTTTTTTTTTTTTTTCATTTGGGGCACATTTCTTTGTCTCCCCATTTTGACTGTGTGTTTCTATTTGTTTCTGTATATTATGTAGATCTGCTATGTCTCCTAGGCTTGGTAGGGTGGCCTTATGTAGTAGATGTCTTGTGGGGCTCAGTGGCACAGTCTCCCTGATCACCTGAGGTAAGTGCTCTAGGAATGTCCCTTGTATGGGTTACATGAGCCCTCCTGTTGTAGATGAATCTTAAAAAATTTTTTTCTTTATTGATTTTAGAGAGAGAGGAAGGGAGAGGGAGAGAGAGATAGAAATATCGATGAGAGAGAACAATGATTGGCTGCATGCGCCCCACTGGGGATTGGGCCCACAACCTGGGCATGTGTCCTAACTGGGAATTGCACTGGCAACCTCTTGGTGCATGAGTCGATGCTCAACCACTGAGCCACACCAGTTGGGCATAGATAAGTCTTGATTACTGTTGGCCCATCAATAGGTGGGGTTGACCTTCAGGCTGGCGGACTATGAGGATTGACCCTGACCACAGTATATGAGCTGTTGTACAGGGGCTGACCCCACAAAGTGGAATTTGCCCCAGTAGGGTCTGTTGCCTGCTGAGATCTCCCTTTGAATGTGTCACTTGTGGAGCTAATTAGGTTGTACTCTGATGTGGTCTGAAATCTGCTACTGGGTGTGTTGGTTTTGCAGCCTCTTGGGAGGGATTCTGGTGAGGTCAATATCAGACGTTGCCTGTGATTGGCCCCGGGCTACTGGTTTGGAGCTACAAAATGATCCACAGTTTGTGGCTGCCTCTGCTGGGCCTGGGTGTGCATGAGAGGGACCACCTTATGTACCAAGGCAGGCCTTCACCAGCATGGAGCCCGAGGGCAGGTCAGCAAAAGACCCAAGGCATCCCAAGATCTGCCTCTGCCTGCCAGCTGCCTGTTAGGCTCAGTCACTAAAAGAGCCTTTGGTGCTATATGTGATGTGTGAGGTAAATTCTCAGTGAGTCACCAGGTAAGGGCAAGTGGTGGTCTTCAGGTTGATACAGGTTCAAATCTGGTACCAGTGCTAGATCTGAGGTCACTCAGCAAAAATTTTAGGGTATGCCAAGGCCAGCTGCACCCCACCAGGCACCTGAAAACCTTTGTGGTGGGGTGCAGTGTCAGGGAGTTGTTGGGATAACGCCAGCAGAGGGAGGGCTTCACACAGGAAACATGGCACCTGTTGGGTGTGAGAGGAATAAATGGCCCCTGCCCTAGAGCCACAGAACTCAGTCTCTCCCTGTTTGTCTCTACCACCCCAAGTTTGCCCAGATCTCCTTCTAGAGCCTTCCAAGAAAGTCTATACAGTGGATCCAGGCTGGCAGCAGCCAGCAGACTACTCCACAGCATGTGAGTTCTGCAGGGTGGGGCCACTGGGAGCCCAGAGGGTGTGGCTAGTGGATCTCCTGTGAGGGAGAGATACTCATGGGAAGGTCTCCACCCTTCCCATGGTCTGGGGGAATGGCCTCCACCTCAGAGCTACACAACTCAGTCACTGACACTCATGATGTCTGCCTGGACATCTACGCCTCAGCCCAGGCAGCTCTTTTGGGATTGCATCTCTTTTTAAAGTAGTATCGAACCATACTTGCAGGGCAGGGACAGAAGGGGATACTTCAGGTCCCCATCATGTCAGCCTTTGTGAGATGCTCATCTTCCCTGCAACATACCTCTAATGATGCTGTCACTTGGAAAGCTACCTGCTCCTGATTCTATGCTGACATCGATCTTCTACACCCAGTAAGGTAAAAGTTGTGGGTCTGTTAACTTCCCTGGATAATTTCAATCTCTCCTACATGGTTTTGAATGAGCTGACCAAACCCTCAGCTGTGTATACTCATGACAATAACTCCATTTATTGAGATCTTTCATAACACCAGGAATAATAATAACTCATATTTATAGGGTGTATACTATCCATTATCAATTCTCTGAGCTAGGTTCCATGCATGTATGACCTTCTTTAATCCTCACAATAAAGGTGGGCAAGGGTGTACACAAAATTTATAATTGAATCCAGTCAGAAGCAGATTTGGAAATTCAAGTTCTAAGTTAAAAAACCTTGTTCTTTACTTAGAGTAAATCCTGAAAAATGTTAAATACAGAATAACTGATAATGTATATGATGACTTCAGTTGTAATCTGATGTTTTTATAAAATATAAATATAAATATATATATTTGACTTGAAAGTCTTTACTATTCCCTTGAAGGAAGGGTTTCTCAATATTTGGCATGCAGACCTCACATGGTGTCCCAGGTGAAATCATGGATACAAAAACAAACATTTAAAAATAATAATGTGCTTTTCTTATCATGCTACAGTAAACTATAACTAGAATACTAAATTTATTTGGGACAGTTTATGGGGAGACAGAGAAAAGAACTTATGCCACAAGCTTCATGGCAAAATGCCACAACATTCCTTGCAAACATGCCTGTTTTTCAAAGTTATTCAGAGTTGGGGAGGGAGCAGCCACAAATCTCTTTATTTCTTCTACAAAATCCTTCACTGGTCTGGCAGTCACCAGATCTCACTCAAGCATCCCAACTGTTTTATTCCAGCCTTATGCTCCTATTACTATACACAATGACAGCAAATTACATCCCTGAGCCCTCATTTGTATCTTCACACCACCCAAAACGAATTCTGAAAAATAAAAAGACCCTACTCAGAATGGCATGATAGCATAAACAGAAATGATCTCTCTCTCTTATACAGTGATACCTCGGTTCTCGAACATAATTCGTTCCAGGAGGACGGTCGAGAACCAAATTGTTCGAGAACCGAAGCAATGAAACCCAATAGGAAATAATGGAAACTGGATTAATTCGTTCCAAGCCCCAGAAAATGCCTATTTACTGGCCTAATTTGTATATAATATGTAGAAAAACATAAGTCTCAACAAGAAATAAAAGTGTACAGTATGTCTAAGGGTTAAATTCAGTGTAAAGCGTGACTCTCTCCACAAAGCGTGACTCTCTCTCTGCACTCACACTGATGACGCAAGCAAGGCGCGCTGGGCCGAATGAACGCCATTCGGCTCAACTCGGCTCATCTCGGAAGTTCGAGTTCCAAATATTTGTTCGAATTCCAAGACAAAAGTTTCTCGAATCTCCTGGTCGAATACCGATTTGGTCGAAATCCGAGGCGTTCGAGAACCGAGGTATCACTGTAGAGGTTTAAAAATATTCCCTGACCCAAAAGGACTGAAAATCTATTATTCAAATAAAAATGAAACAAAATGTAGGGTATCCCAATTTGCCTCAAAATATGTGAGCAGTCCCTAGGCCATAGAGCTGGGTGTAAGGATTAGAACCTAGGTAGAAGAGGTAAAGGAACTAGGGGGACTTGCTGAAGCAAAAATGACTTGGATTCCACTTATGCTGTCTCCTTAAAGGCTATGGCATAAAATAGCCATGGATTTCAATCCTGGCTTTGACATACACTGACTGTGTGCTGGTCGGAAAGGTCTCTACACCCTTTGGGACTATTTTCCCATTTCTAAAATAAGAATTATAATATTTACACTAAGTGATCACTATGATGAATAAGTGTGATAACACACTAATACAAATGGTGCTTGCCATGGTGGATGTCACACTGGTATGGCAGACAGACACAAAAACAGAAGAGCAGTTGAGGTGCAAAGGAGGAGCACAGGGAAGGGACCTAGAACACATGCAGTGAGTGGAGTGGCCATGAAGCAGGAGGAAAACAAAGAGAGGAGTCTCATGAAAGAGGTCAACTGGACTTCCCAAATCCACTGATTACTGGGTTCATGTATGTACTTGATTCTGATATACGGCAGTGGGACATCTATGCCTCCTCACACTTAAAACTAATATAACCAGGTTGGCACTGTTGTGTTTATTCAAAAAGTATTGAGAGTCTAGTCTATTCATCAGTCCCTTTGTATACGGGAAGACTTTAGTGGATTAGCCAATGCAGCTCTTGCCTAAGGGCCGATCTAAGAAACTGTCAGTGACTAAGATTCATTATAAGCATAAAAGTAGGCAATACACTAGTACTAGATGCTTCTGGGAAAAGTGTGGGGTAAAGGGCAAAAGCACCCTGTGCCGGGGTCCCCAAGAACACCCTCAGGCTTGATTATCTGTTAGGAAGACTCATAGGACTTGGAAGCTGTTATACTCATGGTTTGGTTTATTTTAGTGAAAGGATACAGATTAGAATCAGCAAGGAGAGAAAGCACATGGGGTGAAGTCCAGGAGAAATCAGATACAAGATTCCTTTCCCCTGTGTGCTTCTCATTATAACTATCTTTCTGCTTTTAATATTGTCTTTTGTCTTAATTCACATTCACTATTACTATTTTTCCTTGCTCAGCTTGTCCCATAACTTATTTTTCTTTAATTTATCTGGAGTTTTTTTACAGCTTTATTTCCAAATTGACAAAATGTTTTTCAAAGTGACCACACAATTTTGCATTCCCATCAGTGAATGAGGGTTCCGGTTGCTTTACATCCTCGTGAACCACTTGGGATGGTCAGTTTTAAAATTTTAGCCTTTCTAAAAGTTGTACAGTGGTATCTCCTTGGGGTTTTACTTTGCATTTCAACATGTTAAGCATATTTTCATGTGATGATTTTTCATCCATGCATATTCTTGTCTGCTTAGATTTCTTGTACATGCTTTATTGGGTTATTTGTCTTCTTTTTAAAGGATGTACTATTTATTTTATTTTAATGTTTTGGCATTCTGAAATTTTACACTAATATACTTTTGTCTATGTCTTTATTCCTTTGTGCTGGGTACTCATGGCCTTTACTTTTTTTTAGAAGCATTCATGCAATACTTCTTTGATAATTTTCTCTGTTCTTAGTATTTGGACATTTTATCTTTTATTTTATTTATTTATTTTAATACATTTTTATTGATTTTTTTAGAGAGAGAGAGAGAGGAAGGGAGAGAGAGATAGAAACATCGATGTGGGAGAGAAACATTGATCGGCTGCCTCCTGCATGCCCCCTACTGAGGATGGAGCCCGAAACCCAGACATGTGCCTTGACCCAGAATCAAATCGACAACCTTTTGGTACATGGGAGAACATCCAACCAACTGAGCCACACCAGCCAGGGCTGGAAATTTTCTTAATTTAATTCCAGACCACTTCTATTAAGGCTTTATTTTTAAAAATATTTTTATTGTTTCATTCCTTAGGTCTGTTTATTCAACTTTCTGGAGGGTTTGCTCAACTTGTTTGTTTTTTCAAGTATTACACTGGATGTTTTTTATTAGCTACTTGATTTTCAAGAGATTAATTTTTAAAAATGAAATTTAATGAAAAAATTAAATTAAAAATTTAAAAAGATAAAAACCAAAAAATATATATATATACTTTTCGACTTTTTCTTACTTAAAGCATGCTGAAAACATAAGTGTACAGCTTACCCATTAAGGGCTCCGTGTTGGGTTCTGATACCAATATTATGGCAACTCATTCTTTCCCTCCCCAGTGGAAAACGTTACAGAGTGCTAGACCTGTATGTTTTCCACAGACTTACAAGACCTGACAGTCCCTCAACCTGACAATAAACTTAAAATTTTTTTTTCTTTATTGATATTAGAGAGAGAGAGAAGAAGGGAGAGGGAGAGAGAGAGAAACATTGATGAGAGAGAACATCGATTGGCTGCCTCCTGCATGCTCCCCTCCCCGCCCTGGAGATTTAGCCCACAACCTGGGCATGTGCCCTGACCAGGAATTGAACCGGTGACCTCTTGGTGCATGGGTCCATGCTCAACCACTGAGCCACACCGGCCAGGCCTGATAATAAACTTTTGAAAAGGATAAAAGATGGCTCATGAGCAGCAGGGATTCTTAGATTGTGTTGACTTTGGTTGGAGTTAACTTTCACTGAGCTAAGTTAAACATGGGGACAAACTGAAAGCCAGAGAAAACTGGCTGTTTGCTTTTCCCCTCAGTCACCTGATGGCTGACTTTGATTCAGAAATTTGGGTGAGGAGGCACTCAAAGGGAAGACAGAAAATATGGTCAATGAGGAAAGGTGAGGAGATTTTATTTTCTTACAGAAAAAGATAAATCCCAGACAATCAGTTTAGACTGAAGTCTGCCCATTAAAGGTGGTGGGGAATATCTTTCAATTTGATAAAACTTTGTTTTGGATCGCAGACCTTTGTCAGGAGCTGTGTGGCTGGGTCAGAAGCCATGCTGAAGATTGCTGTCAGCCCCTTCAGTAAGGGCACCTAGCAGAAAAGATATTTATCTAGGCTGTTGGGATCATCATCCCAGGTAAGGTAAATACTTGTACAAATTGGTCTGTATCAGAAGGACAAAGGCCTCAGGAGGACCAGAGACCACCAGATGCATCTGCTGGACATCATGAGGCTGAGAATCATGTGATGAATTCCAAAAAGAAGCACCAGCTCCTCCAGGTTGTTTAATTCCAGAAACCTCAGGTGATCAGGGCCAGGAGCACCTGGAATTGTAGGACTCACAGGCCAAGTATTTGCAGCAGTTGTGGGTAAGGAGTCTCTTCCCCTCTCATTGAAACAGTCTGTTTTTCCAGGTATACTGGTAACAGCCATTGCATAGTTTAAACATTATTTATTTTGCGGGACCGGTGTGGCTCAGTGGTTGAGCATCGACCCATGCACCAAGAGGTCGCTGGTTTGGTTCCTGGTCAGGGCACATGCCCAGGTTGTGGGCCAAATCCCCAGTGTGGGAGGGCATGCAGGAGGCAGCCAGTTGATGTTCTTTCTCATC